GGCAAATAAAGCTAGCTAAACAAACCACATGATACACAGAACAGGTGAACATACTCAGTTCAGCCGAAGCTGATCTTGGATAGGTTGTGCATTGAGAAGAAAGGGTCATGTAAACTTCTGAGGGATTCTGGGACTTGGAATGTGTGACAGTACCACCCCCAAAGAGTCTGGGAAAGGCCCCGGAACGAGGCCGAGTCCGATCCCTACCAGTAAGTCCACCCACAGCACAGGCTAGACTTTGCCCTGAGCTGCTGCGGCGCTGGCTCTTCGAGGTAGTCCTACATCTACCATGTAGGCGATTTAGGTTCTTGAACAGTCCTCCTGGGATGACCCCTGGCATGAGAAGCAGGCTGCCCGGGTGCTGACTATGGAAATCTGCAATCAACCCAGGGTCCAAAATGTCCTGAGCTCAAACCCAGCAATGCTCTTTGGGGCCGAAACCCTCCCAGTCTACCAGGTACTGAAGTACCCCAACAACCGATAGACAGCGTAGATAGGGGCTCCATCAACCTCCTTAGGTTGGGGGTGGAATGACATCGGGTGTGGCCTCGACCTGGAATGACAGATTTAAGTAGCGAAACATGAAACGAACACGAAACACAATATTAAGGGTGCAACTCTAAATTATATCATTAATCATTTTCAAAATTTTAAATGGAACAATGTACTTAGTGTTAAGTTTCTTACTACCCTCTGGAAATCGAAAGTCCCTCGTAGACAGCCAGACCAGGTCCCCTGGTTGATAGCCAGGAGTTTCACCTTGATGACAGTAAGCTTGCTGTTTATTTCATTGAAGGGTGACCTAAATTTTTTTGATAAGTCTCCTCCCAGATTCATACCCCCAAAAAGGCTATTGACTGTAAGTGAATTTCACACTTTAGTCCTTTAACATATGGATTGTTTTCAAAGAAACATCTCAGAACAGCACTTACTTGTTCTACATGTGACATGATGTCAGGGGAATAAATAAGGATGTCATTGATGTAGGCTATTGCAAACTTGCCAATCAAGTCTCTAAGTACATTGTTTATGAATGCCTAAAAAACTGATGGAACATTCACAAGACCGAAAGGCATTACTAGGTACTCATAGTGCCCCCCCTTGAGGTTATAAATGATGTCTTACATTCATCTCCTTCCTTAATACAAACCAAATTGTATGCTCTTCTCAGGTCTAGTTTTATAAAAAAAACCTTAGCTCCACGTAACTGCTCTAATGCTACAGGAATTAAAGGGAGAGAATCAGCATACATTTTTGTTATTTGATTCAACCCTCTGTAGTCAACACATGGACAAAGACCCCCATCTTTTTTCTTACAAAAAAGAAACCTGACGCTACTGGAGAGGTTGATGACCTAATAAAAACTTGCTCTAAACATTCTTGAATGTATATGTCCATGGCACATTCCTCCTCTTGAGTGAGCAGATAAACTCTAGATTTGGGAAGAATAATGTTGTCAACTAGTTATAAGACTGGTGTGGAGGCAGTTTGGTGGCATTATCCTTGTTAAAAACTTTCTTGAAATCTGCATATTCTGAGGGAATGTCTATGTTGGTTTCTGAATTGGGGCTTTCAAAATTGGTTGATCTGACTTTAATGTGTGGTGAGTGATATATGTCTGTAAACAAAAATCTTACCAGGAGACTAATTCATGTTCGGACCAAGAGATGCAGAGGTTGTGTTTCTCTAGCCAGGGCAAACCTAATAGATGGAAAATTCTGAGGTATAAAAAACTGGAAAGGAAATGAGTTCTGCGTGTGAAGCACTACTTTCTAGTCTTATATATTCAGTTTTAAAAGTGATGGCTCCAGTTCCTACAGGACTCTAATCCAAAGCTGCTATCTTTAAATGAGTCTTCAAAGATTCCACTGGGATATGAAGATTTTCTATCAAGTGCATGTGGATGAAGTCCCCCTCATCTCTGGACTCTATCAAGGCTGGAAAAACAAAAGACTCATGTTGGCAGCAGATAGTTACAGGTAGTATAAATGACTTAGAAACCAAACCCTTTGCAGGAACACTCACTACATTAGCTCGTGGATTAATATCCACACACTTTCCAGGGATCAGTGACCAATGTCTCTGCAGACAAATGTGGCATTCACATAGAACATGATTGGTGCCTCTGCAATACAGGCATAGACCTTGTCTCCTACTGTGCATCTTTTCCTCCGCTAAGAGGCTTGATGAGTCACACTGCATTGGTTCGTCGTGTTCCAAGTTTTCACTGGTCTCTGTGGTGACTGGTGGTGATCTTCTTTCAGTGGGCTAGTTGTAAATGAGGGGTTTTACTCTTTCTGATCTTTCGATCATGAATGAGATGGTCTAAACAAACGGAATACATTATGAACTGATCCAGCTAGCAAAAGCCCACTCCAATGCTCTGTCAGAGAGGCGTGATACAACAAACAAAATTTTTACCTGATCTGAACTCTGAGGGAAGTTCTCAAAAAAAAAAAACACAGGACACAGAGGGAGAAACCCAACACTTTCCCGGGTTTCCATCAAACTTTTCTGGTTTACTCACAGGGAAGGTGGCACCAGCAGCTTCTATGAGGTAGTGGCATTGTCTGCCTTGATTTACAATGGCCTCCTGGAAAGCCTCTGAATAAGCTGTCTGCACTGGTGGCAAGGTATTTTGTAATGTGACAGGATCAAACAGACACGTGGATGAAAAACACAGATGAGGCTTTACTGGTTTGAGGAACTTCCAAACTCGTAACCAGTGTAAGGTTGATAAAACTGGGCTGATATGGTCGAACTTTCTGGTTCTTGTAAGGACTCTGGCTGCAGCGTTCTGGACCAACTGAAGCTAGTTAAGGCTTTTGCTGGGACATCCAGACAGCAGGGCATTACAGTAGTCTAGCCTTGAAGTAATAAATGCATGAACTAACTTTTCTGCATCCTGTAGAGATAATGCATTTCTTAATTTAGCAATAATTGCGGAGATGCAGGAAGGCTGTTCTAGTAATATTAGTTATATGTGCGTCGAAGGACAGATCAGGGTCTATAATGACACAAAGGTTTTTTACAGATGAGCTTGATGCAACTGAGAAATTGTTAAGTTTAAGTGTAAAATCAGACAGTTTGTTTCTAGCTGCTTTTGGACCAAGAAGCAGAACCTCTTTAGAAGGAGAAAGTTACTCGACATCCAGTCTTTTACGTCTTTTATACAGACCTCAATCTCAAGTTTAATTCTATCATCTGGGTCGCTTGCTAAATATAACTGAGTGTCATCGGCATAGCAGTGGAAATTTATGCCGTGTTTACAGATAATGGTGTCTAGTGGTAGCATATATAATGTGAATAATACAGGTCCTAAAACAGAGCCTTGTGGAACACCATACTTTTGTGAGAACAGATGATTCACCGTTTATATTAACAAACTGATAGCGATCAGTGAGGTAGGACCTGAACCAGGAAAGAGCTATTCCTGTTACCCCTACAAGGTTTTCTAGTCTGTCTAGTAAGATAGTGTGGTCTATTGTGTCAAATGCCACACTAAGATTGAGGAGGACTAACAAGGACACATGATCTTGGTCAGAAAATAATAATAGACCATTTACAATTTTTACTAGTGCTGTTTTTGTACTATGATGTGGCCTAAAACCAGATTGAAATTTTCCGTGTATTTGATTCCTATGCATATAGGAGCTTAATTGTTTTGCTACAACTTTTTCCAAGATCTTTGATATGAAGGGGAGATTCGAGATGGGTCTATAATTTAATAGTTTGCATGGATCAACGTTCGCTTTTTTAATCAGCGGTCTAATTACTGCTAGTTTAAGAGATTTTGGGATGTACCTAAGGCTAAGAGAAGAGTTTATTATTGACAGAATAGGCTTGGTCATTTATGAACATAAATGAACATAAACACACATTAACATCAGAATAAAGCATGAACAACATCAACAAATGTCTCTTCTGTGGTGCCTCCTGAGAGCCACTCTGCATGGCCACACCCCAAAAGCTCCTTACAACAGCATGGCCCATGGTGGACATCAAATTATCATGTCTGTGTTGTTAACAGAGAATTGTCTTTATGAAATTGCTACACTTCTGTTACATACAAAAATCATTTTGTGTTGGAATTACTTATAAGACAATAGGTGTGTATGGAAAATTTAGATTTATTTTATAGTTTCTTTTAAGCAATGTTTAAGTTGTGTTTTGTAGTTTTGCCACTAGATGGTGCCAAAGTTAGGCAGAAGTGAGAGTTGCACAGATCATCTTTACAGTTTTTCTCTTAGAAAAAGAACAGACAGCCTACATTAAAGACAACAACCATCTCCTGTCTGTGTTTTTCCAGTTTTATACAGGTTAATATAGTATATGCCCATAATATTGCACTAAAAATTAAACTATACATGTTTAACACTATTACTGCTAAGTATTAGCCAAATTTGTGTGTTAAAATGCATGTTTTAGGAAGGAATAAAAACTTTCTAGTACAGGTATGCTAAATGTTGGAGCTAACAGAAGCCACAATAACAAAAGTTATTTTTGCTCCTTAAAACTTGATTATACTTTGTTTCTGTGAGTCTTCATTTTATCTTTTTATTGAGAATCATGGTTTATGGATATGTACAAACCTCAGATGCTGAGCTGGCACTAACCTGTTTATAAGAATGTATATCTCTGGTGAAACTCAGTTTCTATATTTCAGTGAAGTAAATGATTTAAGTGCTACTTTTACTGTTATTTAGAACTTCACATTATAGTTTTCTAGTTCTTTTGTTATGACACTGTACATTTGCACAAAATATTAGTCTGTGCCATATACTTGTAGATATGTGGAAGGTTTTATTTCAATATTTAACAAGGGGAAGCAACACCAGGTAAACTAAAAGTAAAGCAAGTGCAGATGTGCTGGTATATAGTAAACAAGTCCTGCAGAACAAGCAACCATAAACTGCTAATTTAATCAGATGATATGTTGAGAGAATGAAAAATACTGTTTATAGATTGACATATTGAAAGATTTTAAGGGAAAAAGGACAGTAGGGTAGTTGATGAAAAGAATTAAATATGGTTTAACATTAGGGAGAGAGACAGAGAGAGAGAAAGAGAGAGAGAGGGAGAGAGGGAGAGGTCACACAGTCTGTCTAGGACATTGTTCTATGGCGGGTTGAGTGAATTGAGCTGTCAGCATGAAACAAAAATAACTTCTTTTGGCACTTTCGATGCTTTTAAGTGAACTCTGGTCATGGAAACAGTACAGCAGTGAATCTTGCAGGGGTCAGACATGTCCAGAGGGCTTACTCTGTATGTCCTATAAAATGTGACAATAAGGGAAAAAAGACATTTTTAAAAAGATATTCAAACTTTTTATTGTGATGAACATGTTTTTGTCTGTTTGTTTCTCGTTTTAGTTTTAAAACAGAAAATGCCAAAAAGAAGTTCAATATAAATAATTCATTTCAAAAATTAAGATATGTTTTGTGGGTGGCTTTCGTGTTGCTTTATGCTCTAGAAGTATAGTTAGACTGTAAAATTGTAATGAGACTTTAAATCTGGAACTCACTGCAGTATTCTCGTAGACATGATCACTGGATGCATCATCATCAGGAGATCGGGAATGGGAGTCTACATTCTACAGAACAGAAATAGAACAGATCAATAATAAACATTAAACAGCTTTACTATGTATGTTCTGATTCACTGCTCTCACTTTACAACTATGTACCACTACACTCATCACACATTTTTCACATTAAAATAGGATTTAAGGACTTTGATATCTAGAATTTTATAAGAACTCACCACATAGAGATATTCATCTGTGTTTCCATCATCCCTCTTTCTTCTGCTCTCAGAAAATCAGCATTAATCCAAAAAATAAATGCAATTTTTTCCTGTAGAGGTTTTTCTTTGTTAATGAAACTGATATTTGAAAAGATAAACAAACATGGAATGAAACAAATGCTGTGTTTCACATGCTAATATTTTCTATTTAATGCAAAATTTAAAGTGATTCTCACCTTCTCCAGAAAACAACAGCGAGAAAAGCTGTGATTCCACAAAGTCCGACTCCAACAGCTACATATAGGATCGTGGAGTAGCCTGCTGGAAACACACACCAACATACAAATATGCACAAAGAAAAATGAAGTCTACAGAATTAATGAGAAAATCGTGTGAATCATATAAAACAAATATAAAACTAAAAAAATGTAATGTCTCACCTTTAAAAATAACTGGCACTGGAGCTGATCTCAGAGATCCATGTTCATTCGGAGCCTCGCAGTAGTAAGATCCACTCTGTAGAGGACTGTAACTGTGTCCAGATCCTACAGGTGAGGTTCCACCTTCTTTAAACCAGGTGTAGTTCTTCACAGGAGGGTATCCATCACTGTTGCAGGTCAGAGTCACTGAACGGCCCTCCACTATTTCACCAGAGGGACTGATGGACACCGAGACATTCTTTGGTGGATCTACAGCAGACAAAAAATAACAGAAGTAATACCTTTGTTTTTACTTGAGTTTTAGCCAAATTTCACTCAATATCTCAACATTAACTCACATGCAACATTTAAATACACAGCAGTGGAGTTTCTCTCTCCATGATCATTCCAACTCTGGCATGTGTATTCTCCACTGTCCTCAGATCTGATGTTGTGAATGCTGTAGGTTTTTCCTTCTCCTACTGATGTCGATCCTTTAAACCAGGTGTAGATCTTCACAGGTGGGTTTGCATCACTGCTGCAGGTCAGAGTCACTGAACTGCCCTCCACTATTTCACCAGAGGGACTGATGGACACTGAGACGCTCTTTGGAGAATCTAGAGAAATACAGAGTGATTCAAAAAGATTCATCCAATTTCAAAATGATTTATTTCACTTGTAAATCATTACAGAACAATGCAGTTACCTGTAAATGGTTTAAGAAAGCATAAAGTTTTTCATGTAATTTTGCAAGTGCTCAGTATGAACCTCCTCCAGCTGTATGGATGACATCAATGCCATAGTCAAATTCATCACACACTGGACTGAACTTGTGGGGTGTCACTGTACTCATGGCACTTTCAGTGCGATTTCGGAGATCAACCAGTGTTGTTGAGAGTGGCACATAAACAGAATCCTTAACGTACCCCCACAAAAAAAAGTCACACTGCATCAGATCTGGTGATGCTGGTGACCTTTTTCTTGGAACTGTTGGTACCAATGATGAATGCTCTGAGCTGTTGGAGGTTCACTGCCTTACTGACAGTCAGAAACTATATGACCGCATCTTTCAATCGCGGTTCAAAAAATATGGTGCTTTGAAATCCGATTAATCTTTTTGAATCGCCCTGTATATGCTAAGATTGCATTTTCCAAATCACAGTCTTGATTTTTATTTTTCTGATTGATTCATTTTCACATTATGGCATATCAGCTTTATGGGAAGGCAAGAATAAAAGTAAACTCACGTCTGACTCTGAGGTTCTGAGCAGTGGAGTTGAGGTGTTGATATCCTCTTACAGCACAGCTATAACTGCCTGCATCCTCACTGCTGACTGTCTGCAGGTGGAGCTGGTTGTTCTTGATGGTCTTTGTGGTTAAAGGACGTCCATTTTTGTACCAGATGAATGTTGGGTCAGTCAAACTGCAGGTGGTTTTACATGTCAGATCTGCTGTTTCTCCCTCTGTTACTTCTTCAGGAGTTTCTACACGGAGCTCTAAGACAAGAAGAGGACCGTCAAATCAAAAATGAATGAATTAGAAAATTAATTAATTCTTCAATGCTCTGACATGAGTTTGGAAAGCAGCACATCAAATGTGTAAGAGCCAAACTAAATATAATTTCTGACAATAAGGCACAAATTTTTGACACTAAGCAGAATGAACATTATACAGTACTCATTAAAACTTGTATGTCAATTTGAATCAGTTTGGGTTAAAAATTAAATTTAGAGTTTTTTTTCCTTGAAAACTTACCTGTGACTCTCAGCTCAATTCCAGGTTTACCCAGCCATTTATCTTCCTCTACACTTGATCTGATTCTGAAGCAGTACTGGTGTTCATCCTTCTTCATTACATCATTCAGTTTGAGGGAGAAGTGTTTCTGTTCATCAGTGAAATACTCGACTCTGCCTGAGAAATCTGGGTCTTCAGACATATCGGTTGGCTCCACTTCGTGAGCTGGGTTTATGATCCAAAATGTAGTAACCCCTGTTACATGTTCTGGGTGAGTATAAGTTCCATTCATAAACACTGTGGATCCTTTTAAAGCACATATTTCCTGTTGATTGTACTTCACACTCCACTCTGTTCCAGAAGCTCCTGAAACATTTGATGCATGAAAGAGCTGATTAATGATTGCAAAAATAAAACAAAAAGTACAGTGCTGTGAAAAGGTATTTGCCCCCCACATGATTTCTTCTATTTTTGGCACATTTAAATGTTTCAGCTCATGCATCTGAAGTTAATATAAAATCAAGGCAATACAAGTAAACACAAAATGCATCATTTAATTGATCATTTCATTTATTGAAAATAAAGGTTTATTCAAAGCCTATATTGTCCATGTGAAAAAGTAATTGTCGCCCTAAACCTAATACCTGGTTGTGCCACCCTTGGAAGTAACAACTGCAATCAAACGTTTGTGACAATTTGAGAGTCTTTTATGTCACTATGCAGGAATTTTGGTTCACTCTTCTTTGCAAAATTGTTTTAATTAAGCTACATTGGAGGGTTTTCGAGCATGAACTGCCCATTTCCGGTCTTGACGGGAGGTCTTGATTAACATCTTCGTGGGATTCAAGTCAGGACCTTAACTTAGCCTTTTTTTTTGTTTGTTTTTTGAGCCGTTCAGAGGTGGACTGGCTTGTGTGCTTCTGCTGCATAACTTATCTGCGCTTGAGCTTTAGGTCACAAACTAATGGGAGGACATTCTCCTTCAGGATTTTCTGATAGAGAGCAGAATTCATGGTTCCATCAACTATGCCAAGTTGTGCAGGTCCTGCAGAGGCAAATCAGCCCCAGACCACCACACTACCACCACCATGTTTGACTGTAGGTATAATGTTCTTATAGTTGAATGCACTGATAGCTTTACGTCAGATATAACAGAACCCATGTCTTCTAAAAAGTTTCACCTTTGACACATCAATCCACAGAATATTTTCCCAAAATCTTGGGGGTCATCTAGAAGTTTTTTTGCAAATGCGAGATGAGCCATCGTGTTCTTTTTATTCAGCAGTGATTTATGCCTTGCAGCTCTCACATGGATGCCATTTTTGCCCAGTGTCTTTCTTATTGTGGAATTATGTACATTGGCCTGAACTGAGGAAAGTGACGCCTGCAGATCTTTAGATGTTTGTTTCAGTTCTTTTTTGACCTCTTGGATGAGTCATCAATGTGCTCTCTGTGAAATTTTGGACGGCCGGCCACTCCTGGGAAGGTTCACCACTGTTCCAGGTTTTTCTCCATTTGTGGATAATGGCTCTCACTGTGGTTTGCTGGAGTCCCAGAGCCTCAGCAATGGCTGTGACATCCTTTCCAGACTGGTAGATTTCAGTGACTTATTCTCACATCTGTATTTGAATCTCTTTAGAACGTGGCATCATGCGTTCCTTTTTGAGGCCTTCTAGCTGTTTCACACTGCCAGACAGGTTGTATTTTAGTGATGTTTGTATTCAACAGGACTGGCGCTAATCATACCAGAGGGACTGATGGAGACTGAGATGTTCTTTGGAGAATCTAGAGAAATATGTGCTCTGATCGCATTTTCTAAATCGCAGTCTTGATTTTTATTTTTCTGTTCAACTTATTTTCATATCAAGGTATATCAGCTTTCTGGGAAGGCAAGAATAAAGGTAAACTCACGTCTGACTCTGAGGTTCTGAGCAGTGGAGTTGAGATGTTGATATCCTCTTACAGCACAGCTATAACTGCCTGCATCCTCACTGCTGACTGTCTGCAGGTGGAGCTTGTTGTTCTTGATGGTCTTTGAGGTTAAAGGATGTCCATTTTTGTACCAGATGAATGTTGGGTCAGTCAGACTGCAGGTGGTTTTACATGTCAGAACTGCTGTTTCTCCCTCTGTCACTTCTCCAGGTGTTTCCACAAGGAGCTCTAAGATAACAAGAGAACCATCAAATCAAAAAGAAAAACTGCCACTGATCAGGCATATTCAAAAATGAATTAATCTTCAATTATCTGACATGCATTTACAAAGCAGTACATCAAATGTAGATCCTAACTAAATATAATTTATGACAATAAGATACTTTTTTTCAATACTAAGAAAAATGAACATAATACAGTCATCATTAATAACATGTATATCAATCTAAATCAATTTGGGTTAAAAATGAAATCTAGAGCTGTTTCATTGAAAAAAAAACAAAAACAAAACAAAACAAAAAAAAAAACATCAACTTACCTGTGACTCTCAGCTCAATTCCAGGTTTACCCAGCCATTTTTGTCCCTCTACACTTGATCTGATTCTGAAGTAGTACTGATGTTCATCCCTCTTCATTACATCACTCAGTTTGAGGGAGAAGTGTTTCTGTTCATCAGTGAAATACTCAACTCTGCCTGAGAAATCTGAGTCTTTAGACATATCAGTTGGCTCCACTTCGTGAGCTGGGTTTATGATCCAAAATGTAGTAATCCCAGTTAGATGTTCTGGGTGAGTATAAGTTCCATTCATAAACACTGTGGATCCTTTTAAAGCACATATTTCCTGTTGGTTGTACTTCACACTCCACTCTGTTCCAAAAGCTCCTGAAACATATGATGCATGAAAGAGCTGATTAATGATTGCGAAAATAAAACAAAAAATACAGTGCTGTGAAAAGGTATTTGCTCCTCACCAAATGTCTTCTATTTTTTGTCACATTGAAATGTTTCAGGTCATGCATCTGAAATTATTATAAAATCAAGGCAACACAAGTAAACACAAAATGCATCTTTTATATGATCATTTAATTAATTGAAAATAAAGATTTATTCAAAGCCTATACTGCCCAAGTAATTGTCCTCCTAAACCCTAGTTGTGCCGCCCTTGGAAGTAACACCTGCAATTAAACAATTTGTCTTTTACTTCACTACGCAGGAATTTTGGTTCACTC